ATCTGGTTACAGTGGATGCATACCTAATACTTAAAAAACACAATACTCAAACAATCATGAACAATGATACAAGAGTTATTAAACTCGAGTACACCCGTGTTGCATACTAAAAATATTATAGGAACGTCAAAAGTATAACAAATTACGCAAACGCAACTAAGCAAGGTGGACAAAAAAAAATTACAATAATAAGTAATAATTATTATAATAATAATAATAAACAAATGACCATGAAATAAAATTGCGCATTTATCATAAATATTTTGGTGATTTGTTACATACATTAATGTTATAATAGACTTTGGGTCCTGTGTAATTTGATAAATACTGTCTATAATAGACTCCACCGCTTTATTGTTATATTATTCTGTTTTAGCAAGTATTCTACAAAAGACTACCGTGACGCACGAGTGACAACCGTTTTGTGTTTATTTTTCTGTATGTCATTAGATTAAATTGCATATTTATTATATTATGCGTTATGTAGAAATAAACAAATTTTTCCTCACCCGGCGGCTTTTGTCGCGAGGCACCTGCGTCATCGGTGCACATGAAATAATTCTGAAATAGGTGAGATATCAAAAGAAAAAATGTACTTGAATGCACGCCTCGAAGTATTCTCAAATACGTTCAGTAAGTTTATAAACGTATGTATACCCGTAGTCACACGCCGATGGTAGGCAAGTTTCATCATTCGCACAAACTGCCTGTGCCAGGGAAAATAAAATACCAGCACGTTATGCTAGGTATAATAATAATTGTCTCCACACGTATAAAACGTTACGTATAAACTATATAAATTATTTCTTTTGTATTAATATGAGATCGTACACATCTGAAGCTGACGAGGACTGCACCTAACTATGTACTTGGGAATATATTTATTATCGTGTACTGTAATGTGTTTGAAAATTCGGTGCCGCTAATCACTCCAAAAATACAAAGGCAATATTTTACTAATTTATAGCTTAGGTTATGTTGTGCTGAGTGTTTGTACGCTTCAACTGCTTTATACTGCAAAGGCCAATTATCTGTTTTTCGACCAAAATAGTATGAAATAAAATGATTTTTTTTAATATAATTGGTTTTTAATTTTACACGGTTTTGAAGTCTTAGACACATTATGTAACTCCAGTATAAGTGAACAATCTCACACACTTTATATTACATTATAATATAATATTATTCAGAATGATGCATCAAACAGTGCTCACCCAAATTGTTTCACTAATTGATGAATTAAATTCTAATTTAAAGTATTATACATAAGTACCCACTGTATTTTTAAATACTTAAGATTTTTTATACAATTTAAAGAATCTCCTTTGGCGAAATAAAGTTTTTTCTAATTAGAGCTCACTTTTTTTGTAAATTGATAAGGAGATGAACTAACTTTTTTAAAATGTTGAACTTGAAATATCTAAATCAAAATTCATTCAGAAGGGTAGTTTCTGAGTTATTAAATTGTAAGTGCTAATAATAATACTGATATAATAATAATGATATTATAATCTATGATAAAAGGTTTAAATGATATGAGAGAAATAATAATTTGGAAGTAATTAATATTAATTTATTAAAATTGTTGAGGTATAACTTGTAAAAATATTCTAAGCTTATAATAAGATCTAGAATTTAGAATAAATATAATTTTATAATTTGTATAAAATCATTATGAAATAGTATGAGTGTATACAATGTAATAACAAAAAATAACACGTTTAAATTTCAATTTAGACGTATCAACATTTAAAAACAAAAGTCATCCGATTAACAACTTACTGTAAAGAGAGAGTTGTTATAGCACAAAGTTATGTAAATATTCAATTATTTTAAAATAATATGGTCTTTAAGTGTTATTAAAATGTATAATAGTTGGATGAGCGTGCTTGGTGAATAACTTTGTATACGACAACGAAGAGCAGTATAATATTACTATAGTAACCTTCGATAATCGAATAGTTGATTAAAATAATCGAATGACAATTAATTACATAATATAATTTACTATATTATATTATTTAGTATTAAGTATTTTTATATACGTATAGTATTACGTTCAAGTTCCGAAATTGTAATTTCGAGACTTGTACCTACTATGAGAAACCTCGTCATACTTTCTGAGCCAAGGAAGTGTGAAAGGGGAAATAAAGATGTGAGAAATAATTTAAACTAGTTTAAATCAATTAAATTTGAAGTCTTAGGTATTTGGCTAGTTTCAAAAAAAATTGAGTATTGGATATTAAAAAAATCACCATTTTATGTGTTATTCAGCCAAAAAGCACAACTTGAACTCCAACTCCTGCTTCTATTGATTTCCTCAAGAATATACTCAAAAAGTATTAAAACATTTAAAACCGGAAAGTTATTTATAACGAGCAATTCTTTGATTAGAGTCATGCATATATCATATATGATATGTACGCATGAATTAGAGAGGCGTGAGTGTGAAGTTCACAAAGAAAATGTAGTAAGTGGATAAGATATGTGAATGAAAAATAGTGTAAATATGCATCCCCCCACTTTTATTACTGAATTCATTGTAATTATTTTGTTTAAATTTTATATTTTAGACTTGTGCGTGTTTGACGCTTGTGAAATTCGTATGACGCCAATAAACGACTTTTTTCTATCTATTTGTGTTGTAGACTATATAACGAAAATACAATGTTGTATTGTTGTTTATCGTTTAAAATACCATCATTTAATCTCAATATGTTTTGTGCTTTGACAATACAAGTGATATTTTCCAAGTGGCAAAGAGCTGAATATCTTTAGGGGTGGCAATGAAAAACAACTAATACCAACATTTCTACATTATAAAACCTAAGCCCTAAGTTGGTTAATGGTTATTTCTTCAACTTAAAAAAATCTATGACATCATTTTTACAAATAATATTATTTACTAAAGTATAATTGTTTATATTTTGATATTACATTTCATTAGATTACCTACATATACACTAGTACACCACTATTAAGTAGGTATTAACATAAGGTGACTATTTATTTTATTATGTTGAAAACTGATGCAGTTAACTAAACGAGTAGTCAATTTGTTTTAATAAACTATAATATTTTAAGTAAGATGAGCAGTTATAAGTAGTGGATCAACATTTTTCGGAATACCCATACGGCCTATGCAACTCTAATCAGATTCTTAACTTCTGCTGGAGTACAATGTCTCTGTGAAACAGGAGATTTTCTAAAATCTTCATGATTTAGAAAGATTTCTGGTAGAATTTTCAATCTAGTTTGAACTTGTTTTAAATATTTGGAAAATTACACTAGGGCTTAGCCTTTTAAGTACCTACCTATAACTTAGTACTTTTATTAATTACGATGATTTGTATAAAAATTAAATAATACCTACACATAAATTATAAAAACAATATTAATATAATTTTATGCTAAACATGATTGTGATTAGAAACGGTCGGTCGCGTTATATTTAAAAAATTTTTTTGAACTTCAACAAAATAACCAAGTTCCTTATTCATCGTTTTCGTCCAAATTTAAATTGAAAATAGCATCAAGGAAACAGCTGTGTTCTTTTGTCTTTTAGATTTTTGGGTGACAGTATGAACTACTTAATCTTCAATCATTAACTATAAAAATTGAAATTTTCGTAAATGTGTAACTACAAAATAATTAGCAAATTTTCGAGATTTTGAAACTTTAAATGATTATAAAAAAAACAATGCCCATGTATCTTTTATATTTTTTAATTTTTTTATGACAACTTATGAGGAACCTTGACTTAAATTTTTAACCTTTTCACCAGACAAATTTGTTGAAATTTATAGAAAAAAAACGATGAAAATTGAAAATTAAAATATCTATAAATAGCTCAAAATTAGTCAAAATATTATTAACATTTTTGGATGTTTAAAAAATTATAAAATAAACCATATAGTAAAAATTTCTAGTATCTACAGTTATTGGTGTTTGAATTACAACAAATTAAGAATAATTCGTGAATTTACTTCATAAAATTCTGCGATGTCAAAACATTTTAAACTTTAAACGCTCATAAAAAATTTATTTGACTCCAGTCAAACTTTTTTTTGTGAAAGGTAGGTAAATTTATGAGGAATCTCGTATTACATTTTAAAATATTAGATATCAATAAAAATAATACAATATATAATATGTATAAATAAAAATAAAAATAAATATATTATATAAATTTTAGTTATTGCTGATAAATAGTATTATTCATTTAGGAATTCTAATTCACTGATACTTATAGGTAATAATAAACTAAATAGCATCAGCTCTAGTACAGATATTTTTAATTTATGGGTTTGAAGTCCCAATTGTCATTACTTATTACTGGCAGTCTACCATAACATAATTTGTTGTTCGTGATGTAAAAGACATCTTACCTACTGAATTTTATCACACTGAGCCGTCACCAGAAAAAAACTATTGTTGTATAATATACATGAATATTTTATACATTATTTTTATTATATTATTATATCCAGCGCGAAATTCCTTAGTTCAATTTTATTGATAAGACTATATTGGAAGTAAAAACAATATTATGTTGATAATAATATGATAATTATTATGAACTGTACTTTAAAATTCAAAAATTAATCTAACTTTTTTAAATTTTATGATAGTTTAAAATCTGTACAAAAATATATTAGAGTACCTAAAAAAATCAGAAAGTTAACCAAATCATTTCAGAAGTTGTTTTAAAAACATTTAAATATTAAAAAATATAACGTTCAACCATTTTCTAAATTGTAATATTTTTCGTAACTATGCATAATTAAGTTTGTTTACAATTAATTTATGCTCTTAATATATTCCATTATATAATCATTCTATTATAAACTATAGTCAAATATAGATCACAATTTTTTTATTTATAATTAAAGTGAAATAATTCAGATTTTCAAGTATTTAAATTATACGTTATGAATATGATTTTGAATTCAATGTTTTTCAAACAGCGAGCTGTGTTCAACACCGTTAGAAGAGCATCAGCGATGAGCATATTTGACAAAAACATTTTGCCCTACGAAAAGTTGGAGTCAAACTTAAAAATTGTGAAAGATAAGTAAGTATCCATACATTATTTATTAATTGCAAATAAAACTATTTTCATCTCTTTTTAATATCATAATTGCATCTACTTTGACCACATACTAGATTCAGACTTAGATAAAGTAATTTGGGAGCGTCCAAGCACTTTCAAAGAAATATGTAGTGACTATATGCGATAGTACTACAATTTGAGATACATTCCATCTTAGTGACCAGTGGCGTCCTTTCAGTTTTTAATATTTAGGTTCAAAATCATGGACAAACCCACATAATTGATTCTATCTACATTTTTTATCTCGAAACAATTCCTATTCTAAATAACTTCATATGTGTAAAACAAGACGCGAGGTAGCTAAATAATTGTGATACCTACTTCAGTAACGTAATTATATATTTTTCTAGACTCTATAAAAACCTCGAGGGATCGACAAATTAAATCACTCGACTGCTTAAACATTATAAATATCTTCAATTTTCGAAATCATTGATAAATTGAAGACTGATAGTCTTGTTTTTGAATTTCTATTATATCAGAAGACCTATAGGTATATAAAAGTAATATATTCGAACTAAAAACATTGTAATTATAATTATTGTGAAGATGATAATGTTCTAGTTTTTGTACCTAAGCGCGAACAATACCTTATTTCCTTAAAATTAGAAAAATTATACCTAGTTATGTTTTTTCAAAAATAACCAGACCAAACATTTGGTTGGTTTTACAAACACCTATCGTCTATTAAATAGCGAAACTGTCAGTGGTCTACATAATTGTTACAGTTAGGTATTCTACTGATCAAATTTTTTTTTTAAATTTTGTTCTGTATACGAAATTTATATTTTTGCATTCTGAAAAAAATGATAGTAAAATCGAAATGAGGAAACACTTAGATTTAAGTGTTATAATCATATGAGTATGTGGCTTCGTTTACCTACCCCAGAGGGTTTTAAATAACAAAAAGAGGGATAATATTGATTTAAATTATGATCAAATAATTGGTATGATCGAATAATCACGGGGTCAATATGTGAGAACTGTTAAAAATTTTGTTCTAAACCTGAGGTATAAGGACCTATGGATAAACAGGAATAACGCCTCACCTCAATCATCACAAAATATTACAAGTATAGTAGTAAATTTTTGCAAAAAGCTCTTATCAATTTTAATAGTTTACATTTAATTAGTAATGATATAGTGATATCGGTGAATTAACCATTTTTACTATTAACTAGGTACCTGAAGATTATTTATTAGTATTATTACTTACTATATTAATAGGTATTCTATTCCATACGGTTCTCTACCTTAGAAATTACGAAATTGTAGGATATAAATAAGATATACATTTATAAAGACATAAATAATATACAAGAAATTAATTTAATAATAGTTTATCATTTTCGGTATTTTAAATAACAAATTAAAATAATGCATGCAATTATTATGTACCTGCATGGTGTCGTAAATAAAATATCACATTTTTATCATTCATTTAGCACTTTTTAATAATTTTTTTTATAACAGAATCGGAAAACCGTTGTCTTTGACCGAAAAAATTCTCTATTCACACTTGGATGACCCGGCCAAACAACACATTGAACGTGGTGTATCCTATTTAAAACTAAGACCTGACCGTGTGGCAATGCAAGACGCGACTGCTCAAATGGCTATGCTGCAGTTTATGTCATCTGGCTTGAAGAGAGTGGCTGTACCAACGACCATTCATTGTGACCATTTAATTGAAGCTCAAGTAAATTAGATTTATTTAGCAGTTAAAATAATATATTATTTNGAAGAGAGTGGCTGTACCAACGACCATTCATTGTGACCATTTAATTGAAGCTCAAGTAAATTAGATTTATTTAGCAGTTAAAATAATATATTATTTTCATAAAACATTTCTTAATAACAGATTGGCGGAGTAGAAGACTTAAAGAGAGCTAATAAAGACAACGAAGAAGTATTCAATTATTTGAAAACAGCTAGCGCCAAGTACGGAGTTGGTTTTTGGCGTCCTGGTTCAGGGATCATTCATCAAGTATAATACAAATTTTAAAAAAAATATTAGCTATAATATTTGTATCAAATTACATAAGAAAAAAATTTAATTATAATATTTTGCGTAGATTATTCTAGAAAACTATGCTTTTCCTGGATTGTTAATGATCGGGACTGACTCGCATACACCTAATGGTGGCGGACTTGGAGGTTTGTGTATTGGAGTTGGTGGTGCGGACGCCGTAGACGTGATGGCTAATTTTCCGTGGGAATTGAAGTGTCCAAAAGTAATCAATAATTATTATTATTTAATAATTTTAATTGATGTTTTTAATTTTTAAATATAGATTATTGGAGTCCATCTGACTGGAAAAATGAAAGGTTGGACTACACCAAAGGATGTCATTCTTAAAGTGGCAGATATTTTAACAGTCAAAGGAGGTACAGGTGCTGTAATTGAATATCATGGACCAGGAGTGGATAATATATCATGCACAGGTAACATGTCTATATAAACAATAAAAATTAATATTTCATTCCTTGTCCTCTATAGATTCCAAAACTTCTGGATCATTTTCAATAAAAAAAAAAATAATAGATTCCATGAGGCTCGAGAATCGGGGGAAATTAATACTTTGGTTTTCAACAAATATACCTATGTGGCTGTAGGGTGGCTCGCACATAATTTTAATTTCTGCTTACGAAACAAACATATACAGTTGTTTGTATTATAAGATTATCATTATTAATTGCAGATAATAAAATATTAATTATGAGTGGATACAATTTTGTATATTATAGGATATTATATATAGTTTATATAGCAAAGTAAATGACTCAACCTTATTAAATCTAAAAATACTCGATTGATTTTGACGGTTCAATGACGATTTAATTAATATATTTAACTAATTATTTATCTGTGGCTCACAAGCTATTAATTACATTAAAATCATACCTACTCACATATTCCTTTATTTCTGATTACAATCAGTTACACACAATGTACTTATTACTATCAGCTGGAAGTGGATTGTCCAGTTAGGTTTTATTTAAGGCTGGGTGTTCGACTTAAGGTAGTTGGTATCTATAATTGTAATAACCATTAAATCATATTTACAAAGGCATGGGCACCATCTGTAATATGGGTGCAGAAATTGGAGCCACCACTAGTTTGTTCCCATTCAATCACCGAATGGCAGATTATTTAAAAGCTACCTCACGTGGTTATATTTCCGAAGAAGCTGCGAAGCACAGTAAATCATTGTTAACTCCTGACAAAGGCAGTAATTATGACCAGGTAATCCTTTTTCTTTGTGCTATTACAATGTTATGTTAATATTTTATTATATTGTGATCAATATAGTTAATTGAACTTGATTTAACATCGTTGGAACCTCATGTCAATGGACCCTTCACGCCTGATCTCGCTCATCCCATTTCAAAACTTGGAGAAAATGCCAAAAAAAACGATTGGCCGGTTGAAATTAAAGTTGGTGAGTCACTTATGAGGAATCTTGTATTACATTTTCCAACCTTTGATATTTAAATTAATTTTTTTTTGCAAATGACCTATTCTTCGAGTAGGAAATGAACGAACACCTCATATAATATAAATTCTTACATTTATATGATGATGGCATTAAAACAGTTTTAAACTCATGGATGAACACTCCAGCTTTCTTAGCTAGTTATATTTTATTACCCATAAAAATATAATGGATATTACCGTGGATCTAAAACCATTTTATCATCATATAAAAATACTAAAATAATATAGTTTTTTTATTATATTAAGTTATTGTATTAAATTTCAGGTCTGATTGGAAGTTGTACAAACTCAAGTTATGAAGATATGGCGAGGTGTGCTACAATTGCAAAAGAAGCAATAGCTCATGGACGTAAATCAAAAATTCCATTTAACGTCACTCCTGGATCTGAACAAATCAGAGCAACAATTGAAAGAGATGGAATAGTATAAAATAATAAAATATTAAATTAGACTTATTGGTAGATATTTTAATTATAATATTGTTCAGGCGCAAACACTGAGAGATTTTGGTGGTACTGTATTAGCTAATGCATGTGGTCCATGTATTGGTCAATGGGACCGTAAAGATGTAAAAAAGGGTGAAAAGAATACCATTGTGAGCTCTTACAATAGAAACTTTACTGGGCGAAACGATGCTAATCCAGCGACTCATGCTTTTGTCACGTCTCCAGAGATGGTAACTGCCTTAGCCATTGAAGCTCGTTTAGACTTTGATCCAACAACCGAAACAATCAAGGGTGCTGATGGTTAGTTAAATTGTACATATTGGCTATTGTCACGATAGCAGCTATACTGTTTCTATAATTTATAATTGTATCGTTGCAATTGTCCAAGGTGTTTCGTTCGTGAAAAGAGTTTCCATTAACTCGTGTTATATTCATATATTTATAGACATAATATCAACTATTTTTAAAGGTAAAGAATTTAAATTGAGCAATCCATTTGGCGACGAACTTCCTCAAAAGGGATTTGATGCTGGTCAAGATACATACCAAGCTCCGCCTGCTGATGGATCATCTGTAAGTGTGGATATAAATCCAAAATCCAATCGTCTTCAACTATTGGAACCTTTCGAAGCTTGGGACGGCAATGATTTTGAAGGCCTTGTTATACTTATTAAAGTATGTTTCACTTAAATAACATGCATGTTATGATTTTATTATTTTTAATTAAGTTTACTTATTTTTTATAACTTTTCAATAGGTAAAAGGAAAATGTACAACTGATCACATTTCTGCTGCTGGTCCATGGTTGAAATATCGTGGGCATTTGGATAATATTTCAAATAACATGTTTTTAACGTAAGTTGTTATAGTTGTTATCATTAAAAAATAAAATAAAATTGTTATTTTCATTATTCCAGTGCAACTAATTCAGAAAATAATGAAATGAATAAGGTAAAAAACCAGGAAACAGGAGAATGGGATGCAGTACCGAACACGGCTAGAGCGTACAAGGCCAATTGTTTACCGTGGGTTGTGTTTGGTGATGAAAACTATGGCGAGGGAAGTAGCAGAGATCATGCCGCTTTAGAACCACGACATTTGGGAGGACGTGCAATTATTGTCAAATCTTTTGCCAGGATACATGAAACAAATTTGAAAAAGCAAGGATTATTAGCCTTGACCTTTGCTGACGCTAAGGATTATGATAAAGTTCAACCAAGTGATAGAGTTTCTATAGTCGAACTTGACCAGTTCGCTCCTGGCAAGGTAAAATAATAATTGCCAGTTTATAATTTTTGCCTACTTCAACTTACTTTATAAATTTTATAAACATTATAAGTTGGAATATCCAATTAATACGATTTATTATTTCAGCCTTTAAAATGCATATTATGTCACACTGATGGAAGTAGTGACGAAATATTACTAAATCATACATTCAACGAACAACAAATTGAATGGTTTAAGGCCGGTAGTTCATTGAACAGAATGAAGCAATTGGCTAATTAATCTGATTGATTACAAATCAATTAGTAAAATCACGCAGTTGACGTAAGTAATTTATACCGATTCAAGTTTAATTAATAATTTAAATAATTTACTTAGTCAATATTCCGGCGTTGAGCATTATGCGATTATCGGTATAGAAATAATTGATAATTTTTATAGATATATTGTTGTTTTTTTTTTTAGAAACGTTTAATTTTTTAAGCGATCGATTAGTATTACGAGTTAATAAAACAGAAATATTTTATATTTTATTAGGGTAGTATACATTTGCAAGTTCACAACGTGTAGTCATTTCAGCAAACAAAAATTACACATGTTTTCAGGCTATGCTTCGCTCAATATGAATTTTTTTTAAAACATTTATTATGATTTAACTTTTTTAAAAGCCACACGGTTAGTTTTTTTTATATTAATAAATATAATTCATATGCCAAAACTAAAATATTTTTCTAAGTATATTGATTTTCGATATAGAAAAATCGAAATTTGGACGAGTAGCTTATGAGTTATACGCATTTAAAATATATATTATAATAGCTTATATTAGTAGGTAGCTTTTATTACGCATTTAAAATATTATAAGTACCTATTATAAATACTTATAACTTATAAGTTGCAACTCATAAACTTATCTTCCTAAAATCAATTTGTGTGTAAAGAAATACTTGGAAAAATATTCTGATTTTAAATATGAAATTAAAACTGTTGTCATTCGAAAAGTAGTATGATAGAAAAATATTATTACGATTCGTTATAATAAAATCCTAAGGAAAAGGAAAATATTTAGGTATTTTTTTGTTTTAAAGAATCTAGGAGTGTTCAGTGTTCAGTGGTGGCCAAATGATATCACCATGGAAAGGATGTGGCTAATTTTTTTAACATACTGTATTTGATCATTAAAATTATATCATTTATGTTTACCGTTTTATACCAATATATGGGTTAATTATTAATTTATTGTATATTACATTGAAAAAATGGGAAGATTCGTCCTCTACTATCCCACTCCCATAATTTGAGAATTGCTAGTTTACATAATTTAATCTACATTTCATCTCGTATTCGTTTTTATATTACTATCGAACTTTTTTTGGTTTTGCTATTTACTTTTTATCTTTGAGCCTGTTTAAAAAGTATTCTCCATAAGAATGATATGTGAAAAAAGTTGTTGTACCCAAAAAATAATGGAACACGTAGGTATATAATATATATAAGGTAAACAGAATTTGTTTTCAGGGTTAATACGCAAAACCCATTTAACAATTATTGTACTTTAATGTAAGATATTGTGTTATTAGTTTAACAATTGTTTGTAATCGTGGGTAACATACGTTGGCGCCACATCTTAGGCTGCTTATACACTGGTTCAATATGTATGTGTGTCTTTGGTGGTGAAAGCCTGAGAACAATTTTTATTCGTGTTTCCGAACAAGCGGTATACAATAAATTGTATGTGTGATTTAAGTTGTCAACCCTGAACACAAGATGTATGTGTTATGCGCATACTGAATGAGTATTACGTTCGTGTTTCTTCTTAATTACAGCTCAAAAAACTATACAACAGTTGTATCCATAGTTTCCACATATTTCATTTTTACAGACAAGACTGTGCTTTAATTACTTTGTTGATACATATACACTGTATACTGTACTTATATTAAATTTGTGTTTTAAAATGACATTGGACGGCGTTAAGTCTTGATATTTGTGGTTAATGGAGTTTGTATACATACCCTTTTAAAGATAGTTTACATTTTGCGAGTTGTCCTTTTATATTTATTATTTGTATTTTTATCATATGGTGGTATTTTATCAAAGTTGAGATTTATTATTTATTTGTTGAACGTTAATATTCTTAAAAATTATCTTTGTTAATATTTTAGTATCATCATGATATTCACTTTTCAAATATTGTGTATACTTTTTCCAGAGAGAGTACACACTGAGCCTGACATAAGTTTTTTCTCTGCATATTCCCAGTTTAATATACTCTATTTATTGTGTCTTTCTTTCTTATAGTGAAACTAGTGTCGGACTCATACTACCTAATTGCCTAACAAAGTCAAAATTATAGATGATTTTTGTACAAATTTTCTCACGTATTTATACTAGTGGCCTCTAGAGGCGGATCTATTTTTCCCAAAACATAAAGTACTGTTTTTCTCCAAAATAAAGTGTTACTACCTTTTCCTCCACACTTTTTTTTTACTAAAATTATTCTTTGCCATTGCTTGCCTACACGAGCGCCACACATACTACTTTTTATTCTACGTTCATCGACCTCTGCAAAAGTAATGGAGGGATCTAAGATGTAACCAAAAGTTTATGTAATACGAGGACCGTGGTATAGATTTCAGAGTATGGTTGTGCAGAGGATATGCCAAGCATTTTTGCTAATTTTTAAAATTATATTTTTATCAAGCCTGCACCGAAAGTTTTGATGATGGTTGAAGTGTTGGAAAGCTATCTTTATCCGTCCAGCTCACGCTAAAGTGGAAATCCCCAAAAGTGCTGGCCGTATGCCCTGCGCATTTACACACTGAAACCTATACCATGGCACTTACAAAACATAAACTTTTGTTTATATCTTTTATTTATATTTTAAGTTCTTTGCATGACGCTTGTTAAACATTTTTGAATAGTGGCACACACGTCGAGCGCCACTAGGAGAAACTCATTTCCCGCACTTGAAACACAATATAGGTACTATTTAATCGCATAGGTAATAAGCAATAAATTGCAATTTTATTTCATTTTTTCTAGTCTAATAATGTTAGACGTTTAAGTTATTTGTTTGAAACTTGTTATCGTTTCTGTAGCATTAAAATTA